AAAGTGAAGTACCTCGCCCTGGCTTTTTCCCTCCACCTCAGGCTCCAGTCAGAGGGCCATTTTTGCCAATAGATCCGTACTTGAGAAGAGGACCTCCTTTCCCTCCTCCTCCTCCAGGAAGTGTGTATGGAATTCCTAGAGATTATTTTCCACCAAGGGATTTCCCTGGCCCACTGCCTCCGCCTCCTCCATTTGCAAGTATGCCTTTTCTGTTTATTATTTTTTTAACTTAGTGTTTTATACAGTAAATTAGAGATGCTAATTTTACTACTGGCTCATATAGTAATAGTAGTAAAAGAAAACTTTTTTTCTAATGACATATGAATGAACCATTGTTTTTCCAAATTGGGAATGTAGCCTGCTATCAGTAGACTGTACTGGGCCTTAACATGAATCATTCCACGTATAGGGAGCTATTGATGTATTGTAGTAGTTAAGAAACTCACTGGAATTTTGTTGTACTCTTAAGATTAATACTAAAATTATTTGTATATTATTTGTTAGAAATTGGTTATTGTGGGTGTTAAAATTCATAGTTTATATTAGCAACAAAGTTAGAGGCTAAAGTATTTCTAGGTCTTTCATAAGTAGTTCCTGCGTAGTCCTACTTTATTTAAAACCTACTTATTTAAAGGATGCATTTATGTTTGTCCTAATTTGTGTTATGTTGAAATTCTTTGATGATAGGTTCACATAAGAGAAAAAATAATTTATTGCTTTTGTGTTCATACTTACCATTCAAAAAATTACATGTTTCCGCAGAATAAGTAATTGTTTAGCAAATATTGGGCAAAGGCCTATTAATAATCTGATCTGATGACATTCTCTCCTTGCTTTTGAAATTGAAAGCCTGTTAAAATGAATTTTGTTTGAACATTTTAACATATAATTTTTGTTATCACAGGGGCGTTTTGGCATAATTTTAAAGTCTGATGAGAAATGTTATAGGATTTTTTTAACTACTGTACACTTTGAAATAATCCTTATTGTTTTAGAAAGTGTTAAGCTTGGAAAAATGATGTCTAAAATTAATGATACTCCCTTATTTATAGTGGAAGTGGGTATATTTTTCTTGATATTATAAACATTTGATCAAGAGATTATTCTGGTCAGTTTTTGAATATAAGAATAGATGTTAGAATTATTGGGGCTACAGTATAAAAGTTCTATAATTTAAAAAAAAATCTTTTTAACCAATTTCTTTGAACAGTGAGAAATGTCTATCCACCAAGGGGTTATCCCCATTATTTTCCTCCAAGAGCTGGATTTTTCCCCCCACCTCCCCCACATTCTGAAAACAGAAGTGAGTTTCCTTCAGGGATTCCTCCTCCAAATGAGCCTGCTACTGAGCGTGCAGAACCACAGCAAGAAGCCTGAAAATATTTTTGATCTCTCAACAAAAGTAATGTTGACTTCTCTCATCTTTACCGTTAAGTAACGGCTGTTACTTAAGTTATTCTACTTTTGCTTAATTTGAAGCCTAGTGGAATTATAATTCTCAGGATTATACTTTGTAAATAAAGATGATTTAAATATTAATCTTATGAGTAAATTATTTCCACTTCTATTCTAGATAGTGTATTTTAATCTCATTAATCTGCTAAATACATACATACAGTGGAAGCTTTACATATGTAATTTTAAAAAGATTTATTTATTTATTTATTTTGGAAAAGTAGATTTACAGAGAGGAGACACAAAGGGAAAGATCTTTCTTCTGCTGGTTCAGTCTCCAAATGGCCACCATGGCTGAGCTGAGCCAACTGAAACCAGGAGGCAGGAGATTCTTCCAGGTCTTCCAAGTAGGTACAGGGTCTCATGGCTTTCCCAGGCCATAAGCTGGGAACTAGACTAGAACTGGTGCTCGTATTAGATGCTGGCACTTGAAGGTGGAGGTGCTAAGCCATGGTGCCAGCTACTGTTATGTGTAATCTTGGGAATTGTAGATATTTGGAACTCCAATGGCTATGTCTTTTATGCCAAGAATTGTGTTTACTATGGTTATAGAGAAACGTAAAGATAACTTTAACTAAATAAAACTTAATTGATTTAGACTTGACATTAATAAAAAATGAGTTAGTTTTCTCATAATGATGATTCCATGTTAGTTTTTTTTTCCTTGTCCTAGTGTCTTGGAAGTTCGAAAGTGAAGCTTTATATGGGTCTTCCTGTTTTCAGTTATATTCCAGAAAGTGCCTTGTTTCTTAAAAAAAAAAGACATGAACGGACCCAGTGTGATGACTTGGTAGCTAAAGCAGAGGATCCTATGTGTGGGCTGGTTTGTGTGTTGGATGCCTCACTTCGTATCCAGCTCCCTGCTTGTGGCCTGGGAAAGCAGGGGGAAATGGGCCAAAGCCTTGGGACCCTGCTCCCTTTGGGAGACCTTGTGGGAGCAGGTAGAGGCAGAGAGCTCTTCTATATGTTGGTTCAATCCCCCAATGGCAGTGGCTGCAAACGGCCAGGGGCTGGGTGAGCCAGGAGATTCATCCAGGTCTCCCATGTGGATGCAGGGGTCCAAGCGTTGGGGCCATCTTCTACTTTTCCGAGACACAATTTGTAGGGAACTGGATTGCAAAGTAGATCAGCCAGGATTCTAACCATCCTCCATATGGAATGCTAATGTTGTGGTTAGTAGCTTAACCTGCCTGAGATACTGGATTTCTGAATGAATGTTGGTTAGGGTTTAAAGTTTTTGAACCACTGGGGATGGAATGATTGTATACTACATGTCGGAGGGACACGAGTTTTGGGGAACTGGTGGGCACAATATCATGGTTTAAATAGGATGTAGATCTCAAACTGCTTAGGACAATTTTGACAATTTAAAATTTTGACAAAGTAACACTGAATAGTTATTGACATCTATCCAGTCTGTTTCATTTCTGCACATTTGTTATATTATTTTGCTGCAGAGACAGTGTAATTTCAAACCTTAACCTTTGTTTTTTCATCTTTCTTTACATTCTGTTAATTTCAAATTCAATGTCCTTACTTGATTTGTCTCCTCAATGAATGTTGTCCAGATACAGCAGTATTAATGCTAAACTAAATGTTAATGTTGTACATATGCAAAATGTATACTGATTTTCTATGTGCTAGATATTTTAAGTGCACAGGAGATTGCAGAGAACAGGACTGAGAAGTTCTACTGCCATGGGAACATATATATATTAATATATGAGAGGGGAGGAGGGGAAGAGATACAATGATAAAATTACCTTCATGCCCAACCATGGACCACAGGTAAACATTTGTTTTTCCAGTTAAGTATATATTCATTGATGTACAATGTGTAAGTTTCCTTTTTCCTATCTTTAAAAAAATGTTCACATTTAGCATTGTTAGCTCTGCAAAGTCTGAGTAAGTCTCGAGTTGCAGGACAAGTGGGAGGGACTGTCAAGTGCAGGTTGGGAAGGGGCAGACAGGAAGAAGCAGGGTGCTTCCACTAGGAAGCCTTCAGAGCTAAGAAGCAGTCAGGTGGTAACTGATGCAAACAGGATTTTAAAGAAAGTGAATGTTGAAATGCCTCCAATGCTAAGAAACTAACATCTCTGAAACCTGCATAGAGTTTCTGGTTTGCACTGGAGTTGTAATGCCTGTACAGGAAGGAGATGGCCTTGCTGCAACTCTAAAGTATCAAGAGGCTGAGGGTCAGGCCCAGGCTGCAGGGTTCACCTCATTAGCCTGTGGCTGATGCACACCCAAAGTTTACTCTGTGCTGCTATGTTCTCTAAAGGCATAAGGAAAGGAAATTTGTTCCTGGAGCATATATACAGAAGTATGCATTCAGAGCTAAGAGGGAATAAACATGAATAACTGGTACAATATGAAAATAGTGAAAATTTCCAAATGCACAAGAGCTAGTAGCAATTTTAAAAAATGAAGGATAGAAGTACCAACTCAGAACAACATTTCAGTTGTTACATGTACTTAAATGTGTACAGTTCATTTTTTTTTTTTTAAAGATTTAACCTTACTTGAAAGAGAGGAGCCATCTACTGGTTTACTTCTCGATTGGCCTCAATGGCCAAAGCTGAGCTGGTCTGAAGCTGGGAGCCAGGAGCTGGTGCTTCTGGGTCTCCCACATAGATGCAGGGTCTCAAAGGCCTTGGGCCATCCTCCACTGCTTTTCCTATTATTAGCAGGGAGATGGATCCGAAAAGCTAGGCTTCAAACCAGTGTCTGAATTAGCTGCTACACCACCACTCTGGCCCCTACAAATCATTTTAAACTTACTGTTTGCATATTCTAATGGTATGACTAATTTTACAGATTTAGTTTAAAATATATAAAGGGGTCTATGGTATTCTAAACGTTTAGGATTTTTATGGGTCATGAAAATAAGATAGAAGGCTTGGTGTTAGAGTAGATATGTGGTAGTGAATGTCCTGTGTCAGTGTCCTACAGAGTTAACAGTCACTCTGATCCTCCATCTGGTGGTTTACTCCCCAGATGACCACAACAGCCAGGACTGGTCAGGTGGAAGCCAGGAACTACATCTGGGTCTCCCAGGTAAGTGGCAGGGACCTAAGTAATTGAGCCATTAGTTGCTTCTTGTAAGTACTGGAGAACTGCATGAGAATTAGAGGTGGGATTTGATCCCAGGCACTCTGATATGGGATGTGGTTGTCAAAACTGGTTGCTTAATCCACCATGTCATATGCCCACAACCAAATAGGAATTAAAAAAAATAACCACTAGACCATATAACCCATAATTGGATTTTATCATTTCAATAATATAGTGAATAATATACTGGGATTTTATGTTCACCAAGGTAGTATGTCTGCTTTTAGGCTTTAAAAAAATCAGTTTGAGAAAACAAATTTGAAACTGTAAGCTATTGAGGCTGACTTTATGACACATTCCTAAATCTAAGCATTCGTGTCCCTGAATATAACAGAGCTAACATAGGATTGTACACAATAAGTGTATTTGCAATTTATTTAATGCTAAAAGTTTCATGCTTCACGTGCAACAAAATATATTACAATGATCACTTTTTAATGTTTTATTCATTGATTAAAAGAATATACATTTAACATAAACCATACAACATCAGTCATCAGGTCAAACATTCAGCTGGTTTCCTTACAGTTTCTGTCAGGAGTTATTTTATCTGATCACACTTACAAGATAAAATCTCACCACATCTGGCATTTGCACACACTGTGCCAGTGGATTCACACTACTGATGTACATATAAAATCCGCATGGTATGTGCTCACTGGAGACAAAACAGTGCACACCTGTCAAAAGGTCATTTTTAATATAAGATGGTAAAACCATTTGTAAAACACATATAAACTTTTTCCATAAATAGAATCATATCTGGACATCTGTTGCATAAATTGTGTTTCCAAAGCTTACAATAGAGCAGCCAGGTCTCAGCACTGCTGGGCACCCACGTTGGCTACTGACTTTATTATTGCAGACTGTCCTATAACATTAAATGCACAACATTCGTACCACTTAGAACTGGGGTCAGGTGGAAGTCTCACAGAGACCACGTCTGTACCGCGGTTGCCCTGAAACAGTTAAATCGGCTTTTAAAGCCTCTCAGATATAACAAGGTTTTAAAACATACTTCATGGAATGTTCTTCATGTATCATAGCAGCTCATACCTGTGATAGAACAAGCTTTCAGTTTTTCCTCTCTACATTCACTATTCACAGTGAAACAGGTGCATGTTTTTTTTCTTTTTTTTTAGTTTAGTTTTTTTTTTCAGAGTTCTGAGGTTGCTGACTGAGCCACAGCACAGCTGTGTACCACAGGTCGAAATTCGACCTTAAATATTACAATCTAGCAGTATCCGGCTGGCCAGAGTGGGCCGGCCCCTGCCAGCATGTGGGCACTTCTTCATTTAAGTCTATTCTTTGGCAGCTGACATGCGTGCTGACAGAGAAAAATCCAGTGACTTGTTGCTAAGGATTTCACGACTAATGTTTGTTTACAAGCATGTGTGTCTACAACTCTGTAGTTTTATCCTCTTTAGGAGGTTTCACCCTGGCATATATATATAGTTTCTTTTTTCCTCCACTATTCAAAATCTGGTCTAAAAAGCTAACTTGAATGCATAATATAGTTGATGAATAAAATTAAGCTACAGTTTAAAAAATCTAGCAAATCAGTGTTCATGTTTATGTAAATGCATTTTTTTAAAAAAGGGGTTAAGCAATGTTCTAATAATATTACACAAAATTCAGAGTGGTAATTGGTGATCAACTATTACATGTATAATGAAAGTTAAAGTTGCCTTTTCTGTTAGATAACTCATATGGATATTATTCCCCTTTCTATTTCAAAAATAAAAATGAGTGAAATGCTATCTGATTGCATGGATGCAGTACATTGCATACAAATCCACCAGGCTATGGATATACAGCTATAGAAGTATAAAAATATTTTGGCTCCTGAGCTGGGAACTCTGACAAAAATAAAAATATCAAAAAGGCAGAGTAACTAAGTGAAAAATTAAGTTAGCCAGCAACCTCAGACAACCCTTCGGTTGTATATCCTTAAGGTTTGGTAACAAGTCTATTAACCGTGAAAGCCCTACACAGTGTCACCTTGAACTTCTAAACCAATACCTGACTACGTTCTTTGATCGAGAAGTAGAATATACATATATAATTCTATAAAGCTAATACTGATTAAACACAGCACATGGATTAATTCACACTATTGGAAAAAAAACATAATAAGACCCTACTTGCATATGTAACCACAGGAATAGTACTTTTAAAAAAGCTAAATGTCTTCACTGAAGCTTTGCATCTCTCTGTAAAAATGGCGATTTGGTTCAGTGAAGACACTGAGTGATTCAATGTCCATGACTGCGTGCCAAGGTTGACCTAAGCCCAGGGATACCTGCTCAATAAGGTTATGCACTGGATCCACATCCTGGTCAGCCAGTTCACCTTGGTCAAAATCAATGCTTTCTTCTGTGACTTCAAGTACTTTTAGATCAGAGCCACGAAGACGAGCAATGGCAATGAGGTTGTGTGCCCACACTGTGTAACCTTAAAAATAAGCAAAGATAATGTTATTTCCTGGCGCTTTGTCTCTTCTCTAAGTTAGATTTTCCTTCATTCAGTAATTTTTATGAGACTTCAAATTTGTACTTCACTTAGCACTTTGATCCTTCATACTGAAACTGGAGAAGGAAACTTGATTGTTAAGCCCACATATATTTTTTAAAGGCCAGATATATGACAATCGCCTCAAGTACACCAACGTGTGTGGTGACCCCAGAGGTGACACAATCTTATTCTGAGACTCAGTCAATTAAGTAAAATAGAAGCCATTCAGTTTATATAAATTAAAAAATGGTCATGGGACCCACATGTATCAACTTCAGATTAAAGTTTACTTCTAGGAAGGAACAGGGGAATGGATGAATAAGCTATATTAATATCTTATTTCTTCCAAGAAGATAAAAAACATTAAAAAAATCTGGCTTAATTTTTAAATAATGTATATTTTATTTAGTACCCACTTTATTCAGTATTTGCAATAAATACTGTTCTGTTCTTTGCTACTACTCCTGATGACTGGTCAAATTATAAGGCAAATGTTGAAAAGCAAGACACACACATTGCCACATATTCATGTGGGGTTAAAAAAAATAGCAGTGAAACAGTTAAGTTACCTTCTTTTCATTCTGTGATGCTTTTAAGTAATCATTTTGTGATAATAGGAAATAACTTATGTATCTATAATTTCTTAATTTCAAATGCTACTCTTGTGAAATACCACACAGAAGAAAAAACAGCAAGGTAGAGCAGAATACAAAATCCTTTTGTGAATATGTATTAAAGAACACAAAAGCCTGAAAATTTAAATATTACTAGGTTTCTAGACATTATAAAGGTCACTTTGTATCTTTTCACTGGCATAAAATGTTTTAGGTATAATACTGATATAGAATTACATTGAATAAAACCACATACCGTGAACTGCCAGAAAGGACAGCTTTGTGCATCTCCATGCTAACAAAACCAATGGATCTTCATTTAGGTTGTCACTAAGATCTGGAAAGCCAGATGTGTCAATGACATCATTCATCAATATAAAATGTGTGAGGAACTTGTCATATTGCCTGGATATAAGATCAACAATAGCTCCTGAAACACAAGTGATGTAGCTATCAAAATGAATTCTTTCTAGTGGTATACTGGGTTTCAGAATCTTTAGCATATCTTCACTCTTGATATCAAATGCCATTATATAGACTCGAAGACTGGCGCTCTTTCCTAACAGGGCTTTCCAATGCTCATCATTTGGCATGTTGTCTAGAGACTTGTGCATCACAGAAGCATTGTGGACCAGGAGAGACAAGCGTTGCAAAGGCACATGGCTGCTGTCAGTTAAGACTCTTGCCATCTCAGTTGTAAAGTCACAGAAATCTAGGGCAAGTGAGCGCAGATTCACGAATCGCTCCAGTTCGACTGCAGTGATAAGAGTGCTGTTGCCAGGAACATTGTTGTCCAGTAAACTCAGGTGCTCCATTGTGTTGGCAATAGAGTTAGGGAGAGATGTCAGTGAAGTTGGGGTAACTATTTCCAGCATAAACCCACAGGATAGCCATTTCAGTTGCCTACTATTACTCAATATTTCTTCAAACAGCTGCTGAATTCTACAAGGAAAACATATGCCACAATAATCTCTAGTTAATAATCACAGTTAGCTCTAATGTTTTAATGCTGACTTGTGAAAATAGGCAATAAATGGCATGCAAGATTGAGACACTTTTTCTCACTGGTTATTCAATCAACAATAAATACCATTACATTTCACAGTAAAATATAATGAGTAAGATGGCTTAAACACATTAGAGCTGTTCCTCATCTAAAGAAAGTAGCATTTTATATCATTATGGTAGAAAAGACATTATTGAAAAGTCAGGCAGAGAAACAGAACTTCTAAATAGAATTATTCAGGAAGTTATGATTTGTCTTAGAAGTCTGATGACATCAAAGTGGTATATACTGATCATTGTATTACAGTTAAAACATTTCCAGGACACATATTCTTTTTAGAAAAGTAATTACTAATCCCAGGTGTCATAAAATAAATTTTTAAAATTAAAAAGGAAAATAACTGATTGTATATTATAATTTCTCAGAATAAACTAAAATGATTATTAATATAAACCCTTTCCACTAATAACTTACTGCTTAATTTTTTTGCCATCAGGGTCCACCTTATTGAGGTATGTACTTGACAAACTTCCTTGCTGTTGTAGAACGCTTATGTCTCCAAAAAGACTAAACTTCTGGAGGTTCCTATAAGAAAAATAATTTAAAATGATTTTCTAAGTAATACAAATATAAAAATATGCAAAAGGAATATTCTCATAGAGTTTCCACCTTACAACTCCGAATCAAGTGCTTTCAGATTGCTTTATGTGCACAATGCAAAACGTGTGAGGCAGGAGAGACATATGAGGTCTCAAGAATGAGAACTGGGTTATAAAGATAGGTTCAGAAATAAGTATTTCAATGAGGATGGGATAGTCTCATATGCCTGAGAATTCTTTGCCAGGTGTAACGTGTAACTATACCTACCTTATTGGGCTTGAGGATGAGTAACAATGACATATAAAGAAATGAACAAGTTGTTTTATTTAGAGAATAGAAAAATAAATCAGTAAATGGCACAGAGTGTAAATGTTCAAAAGCTGGGGTACTGTTCTGAAATTCTCAGTAAGAAATATTATTTAAAATCTGAAGACCATTCTCCAGTTTTACCATCAAACATATGGGTCAGGACTAATGGAGGTGAAAAAAAATTTTAGAGTTCAAATTTCAGCTGTCAGGCATACTTTTTTAAGTTGTGAAAGTGCAAATAAAGGAGAAAACTAGTAACTGGAAAAAATTGTAAATGTGAATAAGCAACTACATATTTCATTTATCACACAAAACTTAAGGAGTAATTTGATAGGAAATGTACAGTCCAGAAATGACAAAGGCATAACTGAAAAAAAAATCAGTTCCTCAATATTTTCTCAATAACCTTAGTTTTGCTGTGATTGTAAAATTTAACTTGAAAAATAGTAATGTATTCACTGAATCACTTCAGAGGGCTCAAGCACCACATGCTGTGGTATAGATGAATGACACTGCAGGGTTGTGGTATGGTGAAGGGCATGTATGTGGTGCCACTTATCACGGGAGCTGTCACTGGGTGAAGTCAGGGTTAAGATTCCCTAAGTATACTGATTATACAGGATCTAATGGATAAGTTGGAGTTTTCCAGAAGAAGGAAGATAAAAAGTTAGTGCTACAGGGAAGTGAAATATCTTCTTGTAGAGCCTCTCTAGTTGCAGGTCACAAAATGAGTTGAAGGGAATCCAGAATGAGTACAGTCAATGAACATGAAACTAGGCTCTCAACATAAATGAAGTTCTACGTGAAAAAGTTTTTGTCTTTACAATAGTTACCCAAGAATGTTTTCCAGCACAATTCCATTTGTGTCTGAAAAATATTACTGTAACATCAGAACAGCCTGGAAGGCCAGCAAAATCAAGTGGAGAAATTAGTTAGGACAGCATGTTAACAACAGAGATGAGAGCTGGGGTTGGACGTTGGTGCTGATGGCGATAGAATGAACAAGTTCAATGAAGCTTGGACTTGAAGAGTTAAGATGTGCAGGTGCTGTCTTAGCTACAGTGGTGAAATACTAGTCAAGTCAAGAGTAACTGTGTTGTGGAATTGCATGGTTGGTAGATCTTGGTGGGATAGGGATTACTAGACTGTATGTTGGTGCTGGTACTGGTGTTAATGGCAGACACTGTCACACAGTGCATTAGGCCACTACTTGGGACACCTGCATCCCATACTGGAATGTTCATTCCAACCCTGGCCTCTCTGCTTCTAATCCAACTCTGCAAATGCACCGGGGAAGCAGTAATGATGCTCAAGTGCTTGGCTTCCTATCACTCTTGTGGAAGACCCAAACGTGGTCATGGCTCTTGGATTCAGCTTGGCTCAGCCCCAGCCATCGTGGGTGAATCAGCTGACAGAAGATTTCTGTCACTCTTTCAAATAAAAAAATCATTAAAAATTAATCATGAGGGCCTGGTGCTATAGCCTAGTGGATAAAATCCTCGCCTTGAATATGCTAGGATCCCATACAGGTGCCTGTTCTCATCCCGGCTGCCCTGTTTCCCATCCTTGCTTGTGACCTTGTGACCTGGGAAAGCAGTCGGGGATGGCCCAAAGCCTTGGGACCCGGCACCTGTGTGGGAGACCCGGAAGAGCTCCTAGCTCCGGGCTTCAGATCAGCTCAACTCCAGCCGCTGCGCTCACTTGGAGAGTGAAACATTGGATGGAAGATCTTCCTCTCTGTCTCTCCTCTTCTCTGTATATCCGTCTTTCCAATAAAAATAAACAAATCTTAAAAAAATCATGAAAAATTTTTTGGGGGGTGAGAGTGAGGTGTGGAATATACAGGAACTCCATTTTACACATGTGAAACTTGTGGTGCCTTTTAGATGATAAGGACTTTCTAAGTTTAGAAACATTCGTCGAGTTTTTGGACTATAAAAATGAGAAATGTGACATTCAACAGCATGTTTCATTAAGAAATAGGGCAGAATGACAGAAATACTAGTTTCATACATACATATCACATAAATCAAGAACAAAAATAGAAAAGGGTTACTAGACAATTCAGAACATTTCAAGGAAAACAAAGGAGAGATTCCTAACGATGGGGCTACCACTATGGAGTAGACGGTTAGCTTGCTGCTTGTACCCTGCATTATAACAGTGCTGGCTCATGTCCTGGCAACTCTTCAATCCAGCTTTCTGCTCATCCTCCTGGGAAGGCAGAAGATGGGGCACAGATGGCTGTTGCAGCCATCTGGGGAGTGAACCAACAGATAACAAGGTCTGTGTGTCCTCCTCTCTCTGCTGTGCTACCTTTCAAATAAACACACAAATTAAAAAAAAATTACTAATGGAAATATACTATGTTTTGATCTTTGAATTTCTGTCCCTTCAGTAAGTTGACTAACAGCCAGAAATAACTATTTAAAAAAAAATCTCAAAAGACAAACTCTGAACAAAAATAATTTTCTTCACTCTCAAAAGGGATAAAACTGTTGATGTGTACTCATATCAGATCCAAAGGACACTTTTCATTTAAAAATGTTTCATTTAAAATATTTTATCCTTTATGTATGTATACTTATTCTAAAGCTGCTATCATGTCAAGAATTATATATAAGAAAATTTGTTCCTTATAATCTTTAGAAAAAAGTCTTTATTTTTGGAGAATGAGTTTTCAAAATATAAAAACTGCAATTACAAATGCTAGAGTTATGCAACACTGATATTTTCCTCTCTTTATTCAATTCAATTTCCACTGACTGCAACTGTATATCCTTAACACTGCTTTCATTTTTCTTTAATTTGAAGTGAATGAACAGGGAGAGGGGAGAGGAAGAGGGGTACAAAGAGGGAAGCAAAAGGGGGTGGAGGGGGAGAGTGGCAAAATGGGAAGAGGGGAGAAGGAGAAAGGGAGACAGGAGAGAAGAGGGGGAAAAGAAAGAGGAAAGGAGGGGGTGAGGAGACAGTAGAAAAAGATCTTGTAATCAAAGACATGTGATGGAGTTCTCAGAAAAGATATGCCTTAGTAGTGAAGACTGATTCGCCTTAGGTACTCAAGGGTGGGGTCAATGTGGCAGAGTAGGTAAGGCCACCATCTGAAACACCAGCATCCTATACAGGCATCAGTTCCTGTCCAGGCATTTCCACTTCAGATCTAGCACCCTATAAATGTGCCTGGAAAGCTGCAGGGGATGGCCCAAGCAACTGGGCCCCTGCACTCATGTGGAAGATCCACTCATGTGGAAGATGGGTGGACTCCAAGTGATCCAGCTCCAGCCATGCAGCCATCTGGAGTGAACCAGCAGATGAGATATCTCCCCTCTTTGGAACTCTGACTTTCCAGTAAATTACTTTAAAAAAGATAGCTAAAGAGGTTTTGAATTTTCCCCAATACAGCTTAAAAGCAAGCCTCAAACGGCAAGTGTTTAGCCTACTGGTTAAGATGCCCACGTACCATACTGGACTGATACACGGGACACCATCACAAAACTGTCTGAAGTAAACAGACAGCAGAACAAAGAATTCAGAAATAGACTCGTGCATACATGGTTTTGTAATTATATAATGTACAGAAGATACCAGAAATGAAATAAAACCTAGCAATAATGAAAACGTGAAAGTGAGTTCCATGTAAAAGTTATTTTCAAAAATAGTGCTGGGACAAAAGGATCCTTAGCTCACACTATAATCAAAATTAATTGTGAAGTGGAGCAACCATTTAAACACAAAAGCTGCATTTCAATACTGCTAAGTAAGACCTGGGAGAAAACTTTTAGAGACGTGGAGTAAGGCAAAAAAAATAATTTTTTTAATGCAAAATATCATGAACCAGTGAGGAAAACGGAATAATTTGCTTTGCATTAAAATGAAAACCTGGGATGGATGTTAGGTAGAGCAGTGAAGACACTGCTTCGGACACTCACATCCCACATCGTAGAGCCTGAGTTCGAGTCTCCACTCTGGTCCCAATTTCAGATTCCTATTAATGTGCACCCACAGGTGACGGCTCAAGTAGCTGGCTCCCTGCCACCCATGTGCTTCATTCTGGCCCAGCCCAGCTGTTGCAGGCATCAGGAGTGAATCAGTGGATGGCATACCTTTGTCTGTTTTTCAAACAAATCAAATAAAATAATTTAGACATTTTAAAGAAGCTTTAAGACATTTGCATAAGAGGCAAGATACAGATTATAGTAAACATTAGTAGGACACTTAAAAAAGTCTAATATTCAAAATGTAGAAAGAAATTTTAAAGATTTAGGACTAATTAGCCAATGAAAATAAAGGCAATACATCTGGACACTGCGCCAAACAGATACTAAAGGCAAACTTCACATGAAAAGATGTTTGATTATTAAATAGAAAATGTAAAATTAAACCTTAATGACATACTGTTCATATATACTCAGAACATCTAAAATTGAAAAGGAACAGCAATATTAATTGTTGGTATGAATGTAGAACTACTAGAACTCATACAGTATAGCTGGAAATGCAAAACCATGTACTTTAAAATAGTTAAAAATAGTTTGGCAATTTCTTTAAAAGTTAAGGATATAAATTGTACTATAAAATTCAACGTTAAAAAAAAGTTAAGGATACACTTGTGTGGTATAATCCAGTGATCCTTGAATCAATTATTTACTTAAGAAAAACGAAAGCATGTACCCACACCTAAAAGAAAAGGCTAACAGTAGCTTTATTCATATCAGAAAAAAAACTAGTAATATCCAAATATCCATGTAGCAAATCATGGCATAATCATGCAATGGAATATTACTTACTCAGCAATAAAAAAGAATGAATTGTTTATGCATACTATAACATGCACTGGTAAAAAAACTATAAAATCCATATTTATTGTATAATTCCATTTATATAAAATCCTCCAAAATTCAAAGCCACAGCGTGCAAAGACTGGTTCATCAATAGCAGAATGGGGGACATGACGGATTAGAGACACGATGAAAGATGCTCTCAGCTCGACCACGGTGGTAACTGCAGAACCGAATTTGAAAGTTTCTAGAACTCAGCTCTTTAAAAATATGTGAATTTTACTGCAATTAAGTTATGCCTCATTAAAGTATCAGCCACACACACAAAAGCACAATTATGCAGTCCTTTTTCATGTTATACTTATCGATATTTTTGGTGTCGTTTCATATTCTCAGATTCTTAAAATATTTTCAACTGGTTTGTTTTCTGAGCCATTTTCCTGCTGTGATCAACACACATTTTAAAAAGGACAAATAAATAAAAAGGACAAATAAATAAGCCTGAATTTTATATCACCTTGTTTAAAAATCTTTAAGGAATTATACCTCTGTTGATTATAAGGAAAAGGCCCAAAAGACTAGCCTGGTGCCATCAAACACCTCAAAATATGGATCTAAAAAAGCTATGTCACACAACTTAGATTATTAAATGGAATATGAGTATTATTGCCTGTGCTGGTCTGTCGGGGGAACTGCTCAGCTGTCCATATCCAGATGCCATCTACTCTGTTACCGTCTTTTCTGAGGCAACCTCCTAAGCCTTTGTAGTCAGCCATACTATGGAATTTATAAAAGGCTTTTGGAATTGTATTTTACTTCATTGTCATCAGTAACACAATTATTTCATGAATGAAGAACTATTTTAGAAGTGCCTTGCCATAATTTTTGACATAAAACAGGTGATCAATGAGTATCTGAAAAATAAATGAATACTTTGAAATGTCCAAGAGCCAATAAGCAGAAATAGTAATTAAGACTATATAGAGGGGCAGTGCTGTGGCTCCACAGGCTAATCTTCCACTTGCTGGTGCTGGCATCCATATGGGAGCCAGTTCTAACCAGGCTACACTACTTCCCATTCAGCTCCCTGCTTATGTGGAGGATGGTTTTGAGGCTTTGGGACTGTGCTCCCATGTGGGAAACCCAGAAGAAGGTCCTTTCCAATAAAATCTTTTTTTTTTTTTTTAAGAGTATTTATAAGTAAGACTAGAAAACAGATACATAGGAGAAGGTAGATCTTGGACAGATTTTGCAAATATGATATTTAATATGGAGAGTTATTTTGAGAGTAATGTTTTAAATCTTTTTTAATAGAAGTATTTTTATTGTGCCCAGATTTTCAGAGAAAAGTAAGAATTAGCTTATGGTAGCAATCAAGTAATTTTATCAGACTAAGAAATGGAAGGTGCCGAGTGGGGGAGAAGAGAACAAATGAGAGCAAGAGCACATACTGCTTTGTTTTCATTCTCGCGTCCATTCCCCAAATGCCCTCAGTGGCTCTGGCCTGGGTCAAGGACTACAGCCAGGAGCCAGGGACTCAACCTAAATCTAGTACATGGTCTGAAGGAACCCAACTATTTGAGTTGTCAGATTCTGCAGTTGAGCTGCCAGATTCTGCATAAGAAAGCTGGAGTTGGGAACAGAACTGGAGACTGAACCCATGCAATCCGATACAGGACAGTGACATCTAATCAGTGGCTTAACTGAGACGTTAAAGGACAGCTCCAAAATTAGTACTAATAAAATTTTTCTCCAATTTATTTACTCCAAAATGTTAGGCAGACTTAATGACTCTAAAATAGGAATTTTGTGTATCTCTACATCCCTTTTCTGCCACGCTAAAACTTTGTGTTGTCACTGTCCTAAAGCACTTAAAACTTCACTTTCAGGACAATGAATTTCCTCAATTACCAAGCAATCTAAAAGTCCTTATCATTAAAGTCATGACTATGTATATATTTGTATATGTGCTTCCATGTGTATACACACACACATATATAGAGACAGTCCTATTCAAATGAACTTCACAATTCAAAGCTATTCAACTCTTTCTGAGGACTGGCACTGTAGTGAAATACGTTAAGCAACTGCCATCCCATATCAGAGTGACTGCTGTTACACTCCCTACTGCTCCACTTCCAACCCAGTTCCTTGCTAATGCAACTAGGAAGGCAGAAGAACATGGCCCAATGGGTTTGGTTCTTGCCATCCATGTGGAAGACCAGGACATAGTTTCTGGCTTCTGGCTTTACCTTGTGTGTTACAGCCATCTGGGGAGTGATTAGCATCTCTGCTTCTCCCTTTCTGATGCTCTACTTGTTGAAGCAATGAATAAAATTTTTTTCATGGTAAAAACTGCTTTATTGGTGGCAGTTAGTACCAGTCAATATATATTGATCTCCAAAGAAAAACTCAGTTTTATTAGGTTACTGGTCATAGAGAGATGAATGCAACTGAACCAAGGTTTCTGGCATGACTCAGGTCAATCCTGCTTCTTGGGAAATGAAGCCCTGGCCAGCTGGTATATGGCATATGTTGTTCCACTGACTGTAAGAACCATGGTGGCTTCATACAGGAGGTCATCTGTGACCCCAGCCTTTAGATGCACTGAAATTCCATTACCTGCTTGAAACACCTTTGGTTTCTCTGGAACTTTATTCTCAAAATATCTGTGTGAAGCAGTGCTTATGGCTCTCTGGGCAATCTGACCAACAGTCAGCAGATTCTGTAGCAACCTGGCTCCGTTATTGCCTACCAACTACGACAACTGAACACCCAAATATTTTTTTTTTTTTTACAAAGTGCATATGAAAGAGTCATTTGTTAACTCATTTCTTAAAAAAAATATATTGGCAAGGCAGAGTTAGAGAGAGAACAATCACATCTTTTGCTTTACTCCCCAAACTGTAGTTTGGAATCCAGGAACTTCTGGTCTCCCACCCAGGTTCAAAGGTTCCAAGGACTTGAGCCATCCCCTGCTGCCTTCCTAAGTCACAACAAGGGAGCTGAATCAGAACTGGAGCAGCTGTGGCTTGAATTTGTGCCCAAATGGGATGCTGGTATTACAGGCAGAAGCCTAACTTGCTACACCACTACACTGGACCCAACTCATTTAATTTTCTTCACGAAACTTATCTTTTCCTTCCCAATCCAATAGTTTTAACTAGCTGGAATCTATTCATTGGGTTATGCTCATTATTAAGCTCAAAAGCACACAGATTAATTTTCCTTGACAGTAATGAGATTGGAAATATTAAATATTACATTTGCTTGGTGGAAATCTCTTAAGAACTTATAATTTTTTTTTCATATACTGACCACATTGCTGGCCTGAATGAAGCACTTCCCTTTATTGACTGGTACAATCAAAATAAACTATGTGATAATTAGCAAGAATAATGCTATTCATATTGTTAAAGAATTGCCCAAGAGAAATGCAGTGTTTAAAGAGTACTGAGAGGGAAATCAAGTTACAAAATGTGGTAATTCACTTTCAGTTTTCTAGTTCATAAAATGTCAAACTTATGAAAAATGTATTACATTAACAACATTTTTTTTACAAACATCATGTTAGTCACATAATTGGTAATCCTGCTCTATTTTAAGTTATTTTTCAACTTTAAAATTACCCCTTCTGTAAATTCATAATCAACTTTGATCTAAAAGCACTGGAAGAGGCACCATGGCACAGCAGGTAAGTCTCCACCTGTGACACCATCACCCCATGTGAGTGCTTATTTAAGTCCAGGCTATCCCTGGACTTTTTTTTTTTTTTAAACTGGAAAGGCAGATCTACACAGACAAGGAAAGACAAAAGTCTTTCATCTGCTGGTTCACTCCCCATGTGGCCATCATAATGGCTGGAGCTGAGCTGATTCAAAGCCAGGAGCTAGTAGCTTCTTTCACATCTTCCAAATGGGTTGGGTGTCCCAAGGCTTTGGGCCATCCTCTCCTGTTTTCCCAGGCCACACGCAGGGAGATGAATGGGAAGTGGATAAGAACCAATGGCCATATGGAATCCTGGCGGATGCAAGGCAAGCATTTAGCCACTAGGCTACTGCGCCATGCCCTCCTCCACTTCTGATCCAGCTCCCTGTTAATGTGCCTATGAAAACAGAGGAAGATGGCCCAAGTATGTTGGCTCCTGTGACTCATGTGAGAGACCCTAATGCTATTCCAGAATCCTGGCTTGAGGCTGGCCCAACCCAGCTCTGGTCAGTGTGGCCATCTGGGGAGTCAACCAGTGAATGGAAGATCTCTATCTTTCCCTTTGTAACTTTGCTTTCAGTAAGAATCACTGATGACGGCTGGTGCTGTGGCACATCAGGTTAAGCTGTTATTTGAGTCTGCATCCCATATTGGAGTGATGCTTTGAATCCTGGCCATGCCATTTCCAATCTAGCTTCCTGCCAGTGCATTCTGAGGAAGCAGATGGTGGTCCTGGCTGCCCAAGATCAGGATGGAGTTCCTGGCTTCTGCCTTCAATGTGGCCCAGCTCAGGCTGTTACCTGCATCTGATGAACCAGTGGGTAGAATTATCTTTTTTCTGTCACTCTGACTTCCGATTAGAGATCAAAGAACATTAAAAAAAAAACAAAAAGAAGCAAAAACTCAAGTGACATGCCCAAGACCTGTTGAAATATTAAAACACACACACACACTCCAGACTTTCACACATCACCTGCCCATAATATTCACCATATTTAAAAATGTATACCCCTACTTAAAACTGCCAAGCTCTAAACTCTACTTCCGTCAATGTTTAGTTAATACAGCATAAGCAGCTTGTAGCCAATGACAAAGATTATTCATTACACCTAATTACTGATAGAATTACTACCGCCAATTTATGGCTGTCTTTTGTAGTTAATTCCTTTCTTCTCTTATTGGTACCTTCATTTGCAATTTGCTGATATTTTATAGTATTATGTTTTAGTATCTTATGTATCTACCATGTTTCTTATGATTGTCCTGGGGCTTATAGAATAACCTGATAAATATAGCACATGTGTTTAAGGAACTATGATTACATACAAGAACTCTAGCACTTCCTATTGATGTTCCAATTCCTTACTTTTACATATCTATTAGTCATTATATTTATTCTTAATATTTTAACATTTTAATAGTTACACTATTTATTTATTTTACACTGTTGATGATTTATTTGAAAGGCAGAGCTACGGCAAGAGTGGGGAGACAGAGATCTTCCAATCTGCTGGTTCACTCTCCAAACGGCTGCAATAGCTAGGGCTGGGTCAGACTGAAGTCAGGTACTAGGTGCTTCATCTTGTTTCTCAATGGAACACAGGAGCTCAAATACTTGGACTATCTGCTCATGTTTTCCCAGACACATCGGAAGGAAGCCGAATCAGAAGTACGATAGCTGGGACATGAACTGGTGCCCATATGGGACGCTGGTGTTGTAGGCAGTGGCTTAACCGATTACAGCATAATGCCTGCCCTCTGTCTTAACATTTGTAATAGAAGTAAAGGGACTAAGGCATAATTTAACAGTATTAGAGTGTTCTGTACTTGTATACATTTAACTTCACTAGTGAGTTTTATACTCCTATGTGGATTGTGCTGTGTCTGTTTCAACTTGAGGAATTCCCTTCAGCATTTCTTGTAGGTCTAGTTGTGTGATGTTTCAGCTTTTATATCTGCCAAAGTCTTTACTTCTTTATTTCTGAAGGACAGTTATGCTGAAAATTATTCTAGGTTGATTTTTCCTTTCAGCACTGTGAATGTATATCCCATTCTCTTCTGACCTGCAAGATGTCTGCTGAGAAATCTGTTCCATCCTATAGGGAATCTTTTGTATGCAATAACTCACCTTTTGCTATTTTCAAAACTCGGTCTTTAGGCTTTGATGACTATAATTGTTCTGGTGTGTGCTACCTGAGGTTCATCCTGCTTGGTATTCTTTGAGCTTCATGAATCTGATGTCCATTCCTTTGCCCAGATTTGGGAACACTTTAGCTGTTATTTCTTGAAACGGGCTTTTGGCTCTTTTCTCTGGTCTTCTCAGATATCCACTGCTGATAATGGTTCACTTGATGGGGTCAGATAATTTCCACTGGCTTTCCTTATTTTCCTTTGGCTCTTTTCATTAGATAAACTTCAAGTGACTTGTCTGAACTCACTGACTCATTCTTCTGCTTGATTATGGCTGCTACTGAGCTCCTTTAGTGAAATTTTCAGTTTAGATATTACATTCTTCATCTGTATTTCTGTTTATGCCTTCCATTCAGAAATTTAAAGCCTTTTCATCTTAATAAACACTTGTTGTACACTGTGGTTGTAACTTTTGCAGTTTAAGACATAATAAAAAAATGGCATAAATTCTCTTTCGATCTTCACCATTTCATAGTTTTTCTTACAAGAACTCTTAGTAATGTTAGCATGACTTTTTTTTCAATTCAAGATTTGTCATCTTTTCACTTAAATGAAGTACTTTATAGCTTTTCTTTGTCACATCTGAATTTCTAGTGACACTCTACCACTGAGTGACTAATGGATGGGCAGCATCTACAGCACAGGTATGATAAACAAAGAAATGCTCATATACCTGGCAGGACACAGTGGCATGCCATGAGGTTTTATCATGCTACTTAGCACTCAATTGAAAAATGGATGTACAGTTTATATCTGGAATTTTCCATTAAGACGTTTTTGGATTACACTTGACTGTAGGTAACTGAAATCACAAAAAAACTAAAAACAAGGGGTAACTACTTGGTGATTCCCCTGGTGCTTGTGCATTTGAATGAAAAGCATTAGCACTTCTTTTCTAATCTCACAAATTAGTGTCAGCTGTAAGTGACTCCCCTTTCCCATTGTCTCTAACTGCCCAGGCATGTATGTTCTGCTGTTCCTTTGGAATAAATAAAGCAAAATGCAAACCAGCCCCTTCGGAATTTAAAGGCTGGGAGCACATTCACTTCATGTTTCTCCATTCTCTCCGGGTGGTAAAGCCTATTTTAAGTCTTTTCCCAATCTTGCTAAACAGTGCCAGCCGCAGGAGAATGTTAACCCATTTTCTTCTGTTCTTAGCTACCCAGCATCTGGGTTCTTGACCAGTCTTTCATTGTTAGCTATGAGTAAGATAGAAATCTGTTTCTTGGAGAACACATCAAGAGGCCAGACAATTGAGCACTCGCTCCACTATGGAAGAAAGAAGGGGGCAGGCTCTTGGCTCTGAGCTAAGGGGAAGAAGGCTAGGGGGAGATGTGGGCAACGTGAGTTTGCTCTTCTCCCTTGCAATGGTGTGACCTTTTTTAGCTTTGTGCTTCTTTGGGGAGCTACAACTTAACAGGATTCTGAATTTCTCACAAAGGAATTTTCATCCACTTAGTGTTATCTCAATGTTTTAGTGGGGAAAAAACACTTCTACTCCATCATCTTGTTTTAATGATATGATTTTTGATTATGTATAAGATGTATGACATAAATTAGTGAAAAAATATAAAATAACAAAGTATTCTGGTTTTGCCGGAATATGTATCATATCTTATGAGTAATCATCTCCGATGGGTATTTAAAAATTTATTTTTTTCCCACTGGAAAGTCAGATACACAGAGAGGAGGAGACAGAGAGGAAGATCTTCCTTCCTTTGGTTTACTCCCCAAGTGGCCACAAAGGCAAGAGCTGAGGCCATTTGAAGCCAGGAGCCAGGAGCTTCTTCTGGGTCTCCAATGAGGGTGCAGCTCCCAAGGCTTTGGGTCATCCTTGGCTGGTTTTCCAGGTCTCATCAG